CCACGCCGTCGCCGGCGACTCATGGCAGCCCAGCTCCGGGTTGAGCTGTTGTTCAGCATCTTAGCTGTGGAGGGCAGTGTCACTGGCCCTCATATGCGGGATCCGAACCGGGGCCCTCTGGCATCCCAAGCGAGCTCTCAACCATCGCGCCACTCGGCCGGCCCTAGCAAGTTTATTTTAAAAAATGTTTTTTAAATTTGTTTTTAAAAATAAATGGAAGAAAGGAAGATAAAATAATTGACACTTGGCTAAAGTGAAATTTTGAAATATGAAATGTCAATTTCATTTATCTCCCTAACTACCAAACTGAGGAGCTGGTTTTCCGTCTTGGATATCATTATGAAATTTAATAATACCTTACATCTATATAGCCTTTCATATGATGCATGTTGTTTTTATAACTGTTACCTCATTTAATCTTTTATTTAAAACTATGAGTTAGACAAGTTTTATCCCCATTTTTTTTTCCAATTTTTTAAATTGTGGTAAACTATGCATAACATAAAGTTTACCATCTTAACCATTATTAAGTGTACAGTTCAGTAGTATTCATACAATCAGACTAGTTTGCAACCATCACCACCATTCATCTCCAAAACGCTTCATCTTGTGAAATGAAAATTCTATACCCATTAAACAGTAACGCTCCATCCCCCCTCCCACCAGCCCCTGGAAACCACCATTCCGCTTTCTGTCGCTATGATTTTGACGACTCTAGGTACCTCATGTAAGTGGAATCATACAGTATTTGTCTTTTTCTGACTGGCTTATTTCACTTAGCATAGTGTCCTCAAAGCTCATCCAAGTTGTAGCAGGTGTCAGAATTTCTTTCCTTTTTATGGCTAATATTCCATTATGTGTATATACCACATTTTGCTCTCAATGGACACTTGAGGTACTTCCACATTTTAGCTACTGTGAATAATACTGCTATGGACATGGGTGTACAAATCTCTCTTCAAGACCCTGATTTCAATTCTTTTGGGTATACACCCAGAAGTGGGACTGCTGGATCATATGGTAGGTCCATTTTTATTTTTTTGATGCCCCTCCATACTGTTTTCCACAGTGGCTGCATGGATTTATGTCCCTACCAACTGTGCACAACGGTCCCCATTTCTTCACATCTTCACGAACAACTTGTTCTTCCTGATTTTTTATTATAGCCATCCTAAGGGATGTGAGGTGACATCTCATTGTGGTGTTGATGTGACTTTCCCTAATCACCCACATTTTAAAGTTAAGGAAACTGAGGCATAGGAAGAATGATAGGACCATACAATTTCTAGTGGGCCACAAACCCAGAATCTGGATTGTGTGGCTCCTGCTCCAGGGCTCTGAAATTTTCCCAAACTAGCCTTCTTCTATATATGATGTCTTAGCATGCAGAAAGCCTACTCGCTGCTGACAGTGACTTGCTGTTGTCATTGTGCCAGGAATCTCTGAGAAAGCTGACCAGCAGGGATGGGTCCCACCGAGGTGCTGGCCACCTCACAGAGAACCTGCCCAAAGCTGCACCAGACGAGGAGCAACAACCTGGGACAGGTAAGATTTTTATCACGTGGTATGCTTCAAGATGGGAGGGCAGAAGTTACCCTAAGAAAAACGTTCCATGTGGAGAATTTTGAGGGGAATAAAAGACTCTTACACAAGTTAATATTTAAAAGCTGCCTGCATTTAAGAACTTCACTAGATCACTATATCTAAGGTTTTTTTTAATTAATTTTTTAATTTTTTTAATTACAGTTGACATACAATATTATTTTAGTTTCAGGAGTACAGCATAGCAATTAGACATTTATATACCTTATGAAGTGATCACCCTAATAAATCTAGTACCCATCTGACACCATATGTAGTTATTACAATATTATTGCCTATATTCCTTATGCTGTACTTTACATCCTTTTGACTATATTGTAACTATCAATTTGTACTTCTTAATCCCTTCCCGTTTTTCACCCCCCCCAATTCCCTCCCATCTCGCAACCACCAAAATGTTCTCTGTATCAATGACTAAACTCATACTTTTAATTCCACATAGAGTGCATGCATTTTCATTCAGCCGACATTCCTTACCCATTTTCTGACATGTACCTCAATAAATGAGACACGAGATGAAAGAAAAGGACTTCCCACCCTTCAGAATCTCAACTCTCTGCTTTTGTGAAATCAGATGCACTGAGAAATGACAGGAGGAAACTTTACAGAGGACAAGATAAAAAAATACAATATTTTAACCTCATGCATCCACAGAAAATATTTGAGCAGCCTGCTGAGGTCAACAATTGCTCCGAGGCCTGTTTGACTGGTGCCGGCCCCAACAGGCAGTCCTAAGCACTGGTGACGTAATATCAGCACACCTGTAACCTACTCTAGTTAGGGAGCTGCAGTGGTTTCCTCCATGCCCTTCTGCTCCTGTGATACCCCGGGAGGGTTTCTGGGCCTCCTACCCCAGGATGTGCCATCATTGAGTCAATATTCTTCTCATTCTTGGGCATTTGGGGCATTTCCAAGTGAAGAATTAGTTTGAAAGGTGACATCAAGGACTGCCTCCATGTGATTTAATATCCCTCAAATAAAACCCTTTAAGTTACACACTTTGTAATAAAGTCAGGATTGCTAACAAAAATTTAGGGTTTGCGCAGCGACTGAATCTGACCCTGGAAAACCACCTCTACATCCCCTCCTTCTGTCTCATTGCTACTTTTCTCCATAGTTGGCACAAGCAGAAGCAGGAAAGTCATGCTGAAGGGAGTTCAAAGAGGCCGAGCAGAGGACAGGAGCCCGTGGATTTGAATCTTGGCCGGCCCCCGCCTGCCACAGGGGCCGGGGGCAGTTGGGTAGCATCTCCACGGGTGTCTTGAGCCAACTTGAATGTCACCAGGTGCTCTCTACACGGAGGCCAAGTATTCAGGGTTTAGGTAACAGTGTGGGCTGTGGAGCCAGCTTCCTGGACTGACCCCTGGCTGTGAACTGTGACCCTGGTACGTTGCTTAACCACTCTCTGCCTGTTTCCTACCGTCCCAGTGCAGATGGTCACAGCACCTACCTCACAGTGTTGGGAGGAAAACTAAGGGCATGAAAAGCTCTTAGCACAGTGCTAGTTCTAATAATTAGTCCTTAATTAGTGACATAGGAACTTCAGGAGGGAAAAGACATGTGATCCGTGTGGGAAAGGTGCAGTGAATATAACATATGTCGAAGAGCTTTCATTGTGACTTTTTCACTCCAACCTTAGGCCCTTAGTTCTTAAGAAAATAGTGAATCTAATATTCTTTTTTATGCCAGTCTCCTCACCCCACCCTCCTTCCCCTTTGTAAGAGGCCAGGGGCCAGAGGTGGACAGATTAGCCCAGGATGTGCGTGGCCTTTGGAGCAGGCAGCACCAGCCAAAGGACCATCTCATGGACTGACTTTACTCCCCCTGTCCCGACATGCACCACCTTTCCCCGCCCCTCTGAGATTTCATGCTTTTTCTTGCTTCCCTGCTTTCATTCCATTTTTCTCCTCATCACTCTGGTCAAATTATTCCCCCAGAACCCCTCTCAAATCCCCACCCCTTCAGTCACAGCTTCCCAGGATTATCTGGCCGTCCAGTTCTCCAGTTCTCTGAACTTGGCCATGGCACAGCTGAAACTCAGTGCAGGCCCACATCCTGTCTGTAGCATTCCATGTGTTTTCCCAAATTAGCCTCATCTCGTGGCTCAGCAGTAAGTCCCTAACGCTGGGCACTTGGACTGTTCCATACTGTACGGCGCCCAACCCGCACCGTGAGGTTGCACCCACACGTGATGGGCCAGCTGCTGCGACTGAGACGCGAGGGCTCTGCGGAATCAGTGCCCAGTGAGGAATGAAAGAAAACCGCAGCCTGACTCCTGTGGTTTGTGCCATCGGAGAGTGAATGGTTCCGAGACACCCAAGTGAGGGATTTCTGCTGTGCCCCCATCCTTAAAAAAATAACCAGGAGAGAGAAAAAAGGACAGAAACCAAAGCTCACTCTGCCGGCCAGTCCGAGTTATTTTAGAGCCCCGAAAGCAGGGTGGTGGTGGTGAGATGAGTGCTCTGTGATCTTAGAGACAAAAACAGAACAGGAAGGCCTGCGCCCAGGAAGTGGAATGTCTTTCTGAAATAGACACAAAAAATGGAGATTGTTTACAATTTTCCTTTTTTTTCCTCTTTTTTCGTTGAGAGATGTTCTGTTGTCTCACATTTTCCCCACCTTTTGTTTATTCTCATCACAGGACTGGGCGGCTCCCCAGACCTCATCCCTTCCCCAGGGCAGAAGCGGGTAGCTTCCCCTGCCCCCAGCAAGACCTCAGCAGACACAGGGCAATTGAGACGGCCTGAGGACCCCAGAGAGCCAGTGTTATCCAGGGTCCCCAAGTGTGAGGACAGATGTCACGTCAGCCTCACCCGGGAGCACAGCACATCCCCAGGGAAAACTGCAACGGCCGATCCTGACTTCGGCAAGACTTGCACAGCCCCAGAAGCCAGCTCGTCCGACACCACCAGGAAGGCAGCTGCCCGCCAGGGAACAGGACCTGAGGCACGGGGAGCCTCTCCAGCCGATGCTGTCCTCTCACGAGACCTACTCATGTCCCAGGAGGACAGACGGGGAGTTTCAGGTTATAACCACAGCAAAGTGCTGCAAACAACAGGAATCCTCGTACCCGAAAACTCGCAGGCGTCTGCTCTGCTCAAGGGAACAGGCTCCGGGTCTGAGAGGGCACAGCAGGCCAGCCCCTCCCTGCTGTCACCCACTGACAAGACCAAAGAGGCGTGCGGCAGTGGCCCAGGACACTGCTGCCCCAGGAAGAGTGGAGGCAGCCCTGTGACCGACATCGACAGGCTCATCAAGGAATCAGATGCTTGTGAGGCAAGACTTCCGTCGCCTCAGAAAGGGGACCGGGCGAGTCAAGAGGGCAGTTCTCAGGGCCAGCTTCCAGCAGGAGCTAGAGATGGGCGCTCCCGCCGTGCTGAGCCAGTCCCCGGGAACCAGACCCCCACCCAGAGGAGGGCCTGGGCTGCTGGCCCTCCCACTCACGCACAGTGGACCTCCCAGCCTTCAGTTTTGGATTCCATTCATCCTGACAAACATTTTACTGTGAACAAAAACTTCCTGAGCAACTACTCTAGAAATTTTAGCAATTTTCACGAAGACAGTACGTCCCTGTCAGGCCTGGGGGACAGCACAGAGCCGTCTCTCTCATCCATGTACGGCGATGCTGAGGACTCGTCTTCTGACCCCGAGTCGCTCACTGAGGCCCCTCGAGCTTCCACCAGGGACAACTGGTCACCTCCTCGTTCCCGTGGGTCTTCTCACAAAGAAGATACGACGGAGTCTGAGGAGGAGCATGTTGAAATCTGTTCCACAGGGGGCTCCCCAAACCCACCCCCGACCGCAGCTCATGCTGCTGCTCAGGCTGCACCCCGCCCTGCTCTCGCCAGGGTTCTGCCATTAAAGCACAGTGCTCTGAGTGAAGCGACGGGGAGTCCGTGTGAGACAGCGTCCTTCATGCCCGGAGCCTCGTGCCCTGCAATCCCAAACTCTTCCCAGCCACCTTCTCTCTTGGATATAAGCTCTCATGGGCATGAACCTCACGCGGACCTAAAGATGACACACAACCACAGGCCCTCGTGTGAAGGCGGCCCTGAGGAAGACGGCAGCACTGGCTCAGCTGTGGGAAACAGCCAGCTTTCTAAAGCCACCAGGCATTTTCACAACTCCCCGATCACTCTCAGCTCTCCTCACATGGTAAATGGTTTGGAAGATGCCTTGGTGAATGCTGAAACCCCAAATGAAAAACAAGCCAATGTTAACACAACTGAGAATCGGTCCTCCTATAGCATGGCTGTCCCTAAGAACGGGGAACCTGTTTTGGCAAACCTGCACATCTCCGAAAGTCATGACCTGGATGACTTGCTACCGAAACCAAAAATGATCTCCAGGAGGCCCATCATGGCCTGGTTTAAAGAAATCAATAAAAGTAACCAAGGCACGCCTTTGCAGAGCAAAGCTGAAAAGGAACAGTCCACGGTGCCTGCCAGAAGTCCTGACTGTAAGAGTCAGGTGTTGAGCACAAGCCACAAAAAGGGAGTTTCTGTGCCTAATAGCCCCCCTCAGCTGAAACTGAACCTCGAAAATAAAGACCCACCTAAAAAAAGTTCAGCGGAAACACTTTTAAGTAACTGTCAGAAACCCAAATCTGGTCCTAAGCTGAAGAGGTTGGGCATCAAAAGCAAAAGCAGAGGCAGTTCCGAGGCCCTGGCCAATAATACGCCTAAAGCTGGTGGGACAGACCACAGGAAACCCCTCGTTTCACCCCAGACCTCCCACAAAATGCTCTCCAAGGTAGCATCACACCGGTTCCACGCAGCTGACCATGAAGAACCCGACAAAGATGCCATGGCCACCACCAAGTCTCCCCATTGTGTGCTGGACAGTAAGCCACCCCCTGCGGCCTCGGGGTCACTCAGGCCTTCGGCGTCAGACACAAGCATCAGACCATTCATTCCACCCCTGACCTCCCCCAAGATTCTTCCTGAGCAAGGTACAAGTAATAGGTTCCACACGGCTGTCCACTCCGAACCCGACAGAAGTTGCCCAGCCACCCCCAGGTCTCCTAAGTGTGGACCAGACAGCAAGGCGCCCTCAGCGGCCTCGGGGACGGGTCCCCCAGCATTGAGGAGTGGCGCGTCCATGGCAGTGGACAAGCGGGAGCTCCCACCTCCCAGGCAGGCCCAGCAGCATGTGGCCAGCCAAGCAGATTTGGTACCAGAAGCAGCCCAACCCGGGGTGACTGGCAACAAAGGAAGCAAAGCAATTGTTAATGATCCACTAGAAAGAATAAATCAGCTGAAAATAGTTGAAATTCCTTCTGAAAGAATGCCAAAGAATGCAAAGAATACAAGTGGTAACAAGCCCGTTGAAAATGACAGACAGGGAGAGTTCTTGGCCCAAAGCAACTGTCAGGAGAAGAGTGAAATCAGACCCTGTCACCCGTCAGTGGAATCATCTCCAAATCATCTGCCCTCACTCACGTCCCGGGCCTCCCCAGTGGAGCAGGAAACGCAGCGATCTTTCAGCGTGGCAAAGCTGGCCTCCTCCTCCTCCTCCCCACAGCTGCTGGATAGAAAGGCGGATTCCTCCCCGGGAAAGTCAAGCCAGATGTCAGACTCCCCAGGGATGCCCAAGAACAGCACACCAGCGAGCCCAGTGCTGGATGACCATCCCTATTTCACGCCGAGGCCAGCGACCAGGACCTACTCCATGCCAGCCCAGTTCTCAAGCCATTTTGGACGGGAGGGACCTTCCCTGCACAGCCCAGGTCGCGCTCAGCGGGACAACCAGATCCCTTCAACAAGTGGTGGCCTCCTGGAGGCCAAGGCATCCCGAGGCAGTGCTCTTGGCCTTGTTAATGGACAGGGTGTGTATAGTGTAAAGCCCCTGCTGGAGACAGCGAGGAACCTTCCAACAACAGACGAAGGGGATGTTCTGTCACTGCAGGAAACGAACTGCCTGGTCACAGACAAAATCAAAGTCACCAGGAGACATTACTACTCTGATCAGAACTGGCCCCATGAATCTACCTCATTTTTCTCTGTGAAGCAGAGAATCAAGTCCTTTGAGAACCTGGCCAATTCTGACCGACCCATGGCCAAGTTGGGGGCTTCCCCCTTTTTGTCGGTGAGCTCCAAGCCTCCCATTGGGAGACGGTCATCTGGCAGCGTGGCTTCAGGGAGCCTCCTCATCCACCCTGGTGACCCGACAGCGAGGTCCCTGAGACGCAGCCTGAGTTCCTGCAGCGAATGCCAAAGTGAAGCCAGCACCCTCATCCCCCAGATGACCAAGTCCCCGTCCAGCACGATGCTGATGGTCTCCCAGCAGAATGTGGTGGAGGCCAGTAACAAGGGCCCTGACTCGGACCCAAAGAAAGCACTTGGTCCTTCCGGAATTCCCGCCCCAACAGTGACCCCAGCCTCTCCTGTCAAGAGGAACAAGTCCTCGGTGCGCCACACACAGCCCTCGCCTTTATCCCGCTCTAAGCTCCAGGAACTGAGAGCCTTGAGTATGCCTGACCTTGACAAGCTCTGCAGCGAGGACTTCTCAGCAGGGCAGCCAGCCGTGCTCTTCAAAACTGAGCTGGAGATCGTCCCCAGGAGGTCGCTTGGCTCCCCTGCTGGAGGTCTCAATGGGTCCACTGCCCTTTCGTGTCCCGTGAAGGTGGGGGACAGGGTCTGTCCAGGAGGAAGCTGGCCTAAAGCCGGTGAGCCTGGGGCACCCAGTTCAGCTGGTGATATGGGTGAAACCCCCCAGGATCTGCCTTCCAGAAAAAGCTGGTCAGTTAAGTAAGTATCTGCCCCCCGTCCTTTTTATCTAAATAAACTTTTTTTTTAATTACAGACTAGTTTTAGATTTATAGAAAAGCTGCAAAGATAGTGCAGAGTTCCCATGTACCCCTCACCCAACTCTCCCTAACGTTAGCAGCCTCTTGCATTGGTCCGCCGTCCATTGGTCAAAAGCAGGAAGTTAACATTGGAACAACACGATTGACTAAACTGCAGACTTTATTCTGGTATCACATACATGTCCTTTTTCTATTCCAGTATCCCGCCAAGGATATCACATTGCATTTAGGCCCCGTTGTTTTTAATACCATTACTGGAAAAATAAAGTGCCTGCAGGGAGACGTGTTGGCCAAAATGTTGCTCTGAAGAGAGGCCCCCATAGGACATGGCCCTTCATGAGAAGTGCAGGACAGGAAAGGCTGCCCCTCAAGGAAGCATCTGGGCCTTTGAAGGTGCTTGGAGTTAAACAGGAAATTTCTAACATTTTAAAATAGCTCACTTGAACCTATACACTGCAAACTTTTTAATATATCAGAAATTTTCTTACCACATTGGTCCTGCAACATCGTGGAAGAATCCCTGAATCCTTAGTAATTCCCACTGAAAACAAATAACCAACAAAAACAGTAGAAAGGACATCGTTTAAAATGCGTCCTTACAAAATGGAGAAATTGCTTTTCTCTTCGTGTTTTTCTAACGTTTTTATATTATTTAGTTTGGATCAACTTCTAGTCTCAGCGGGGGACCAGCAAAGATTACAGTCTGTTTTGTCGTCCGTGGAGTCCAAATCGACCATCCTAACTCTCATTCAGGAAGCGAAAGCACAATCAGAGGTGAGTGAAATGCAGAAACATGAGAAGATGGAGCTGCCGCCACGTAAGTACCCGCCTGGTGTGCCACGAGCTCAGAGAGCCAAGGAGAGCCCTTCTCTGAGTCTCGTGTTCTGAGTTCTACAGCTCAGTCTCGCTTGTAGCTTGCTTCAGAAACTAGATCTTGTCTTGTATGTTTAGATGCCAGACTAGTGCAGCTGCTGTTTTAATTCCCCAATAGTAACAAGTCCTGTCCTCCCCGCCCCACTCTCATTTGGAGTTTATCTGCAGAGGGTCCTCCAAACAGAACGAGGCGTCTTGGAACTGTTGGGTAATGACCACAAATACCTCTGTCCACCTAAGTGGACATAAACTACCTGTCAGGGAAGCCACCTGCTGGGGAATGAGAATTAACATCTGTGTGGCCCTGCCCTGTCCCCAAGTGTAAGAGCTTCTGAAGCCTGGGGGTCAAGACCAAGAATCTAATTATTAGTCTTACAAAGTCTTTCAATAAACTGCATGTGACAGTAAACAATTACCAAAGAAACCATGCGTTCGTACTAGAATACTTCTCTGAAGTACAACATTAATTTCTCAGGACTATCCATAGAGATTTGAACCCTAAGAAATGGATATTTTGTGTTTAGAGAAAACAAATAAGCGATCATGTAGCTGGGTCACTGAGCACTGAGAACCTTTCCAGCAGCCCTAATCTTAGAAGGGCTGTGACGTTGGTTTCTAATAAGGAGTGAGCCAGGTTGGGGAGGAGACAGGGTGGGATAGAGCCCAGCTCCCCACAGCTTCCACTCTTCTGTCAGCCCCCTGGTTGGGGTCTCTGCAGTTAGGAAACAGCTTGAGACAGCCAGCATTTTTCACAGTTCCAACATCGCCCTTCTCAACTTGTTGCAATAGGGGAGCATTTCACACGTGGAAAGTCGTACTCTGGGATTTCCAGCCCAGGTGGCACGGTGAGATCATGCTCTGCCAGGGCCCCCTTTGCTCCAGACATTTTGCAGTGTTACAGAAAATGTAAAAGGAGAAAAACAAATAGAAGGTCTCAACCAAACTCACAAACGACATGGACATTTTCAGAGACCACAACTGAAGTGGAGACTTTGCAGACAGGAGGCTGAGCACCAGCCTGGGGACATCTGGGACCTCCCTCACCCCCCTCACCCCGGAGCGGGCAGGTGTGTGGCTTCTGGGGGCGCTGTGAGAGATGAGAGTCCGAAAGCAAGTCCTGGTCTTCTGACCTCGGCAGGCCCAGCCTTGGGGGACCCTGAGCGTGGACCTCGCTTTCCTGACACTGTGCTAAGCTTCTCAGGGAGGCAAAATTGGGCCTGACAAACAGCTTCCAGCACATTTGTATCCTCACACACAACTGGAAAAAGGAAATTTTAATAAATTAAAATTCTGGTGATAACATGTCCTGGAATGCAGGACAAGTCCCATTTTCAAATAGCCTGTCTCTCTGCTCCAGTGATGCATTTAAATATCTGAGAAAGATTCCTTTTTCAGCATCAAACGTTTCCTCTGAGAAGCTGCACAGAGATCATTTACCAGACCATATGTTCCCATTTTTATTGAGAAAGCATAGTCATCATTCTCCCCTCCACTGAATGGTATCTGAGCATAAAATCCATATCCCAGCCCCCCAAGTTCTGCAGGACATTCTAGTGTCGCATTTGGAGCCTTGTTTGAATGAACTCTATTCTATAAAGAAGTGTCAAATGCTTAAGATTAGTCTTTCGGACTTACTGATAGAACCAAACACTACAATACAAAGGTGTTTTTCCCTTTCAACACTCACTTTCTCTCATCAGAGCAACCCTTACAGGAATAGAGTCTCTTTCTATTGCTGTGTTTGAGAACCCCTTGAATTGACGGATTACAAACCACTTCATGGGAAACCTACCAGTGCAGATCTGGAAAATGTTGCTGAGTCATCTCTAGCGTATGGGTGGAGGAAGTCGAAATTCAGTAGAATCATCCCAGCTTGTTTTTTATTTTAAAATCTTTTATTCCAAGGTATATTTTGATTGATGCTTGAAACATAGGACAGTCTTTTGTTATTTAACCTTGGAACACTAGTAAGAATGTTCTAGTCTTGATAGGAGTTGACAGTTTTAATGTACTTTGTATACTGTACTTTATATATTTTTAACATACTTTGTATTTTATGAGTACTAGCTAGTTCATTAATTGCACCCGAAAGCGCACGGCGGGAGGAGAGCACAGAATACGTGGCTTTATTGTGCTCTTATCCTGCTCCTGGCGCTTATACATCTCTTTGCTGCTGCTACTGCTATTGTGGTTTGCTAAACTGCAGACTTAATTATGGAATAAAGAGTGCCCTTTGTGGTCAGATTACATGCTATGATTTGGCAAGACACAGTCTGGTGCCTAGAATGGCCAGACTGCCTTCTCAATTGCCCCGTCCCCACCCCGTCCGGGTTCATGTCCACCATCCCAATGGCTCTACAGCTACGGGCCGGACCCTCACACACCCGTACAAGCACCACCCAGGAGGAACGCAGGGTGATCGAGATAGGGCTCCTCCAATTCAAATATCCTGTGAATGCTCCTGAAAAACCATGGGGTTTTTCCAAACTGCATGGGGTAACAAACTGCAGTCCTAACAGAAGATTCATTTCAGCACTTCCTTACTCTTGGTACAAGGGATATCCTTTGTTTGTTTGTCTCTCTTCACTAGAATAAAGAAGATGTTTACTTCGTAGTCTTGACTAAAAGAGAAGGCTCAGGTCTGGGATTCAGTGTGGCAGGAGGGACAGATGTGGAGCCAAAGTCAATTGTGGTAAGTGACAATGTCAAGATGTGCTCAGGGAAGTCACTGCTGAAGCTGCCTCCGAATTTATCAGGACAAAATTCATGTCAGGAGTTCAAAGGCTACTGGTGTTTGTTCACTGCTACCAAAACAAACATGGAAAAGTGGGACATAGTATTTTCATTGACGACATATGCCTTTTAACACATAGCTGACTGATATACAGGCTGAGTGACCTATTAGGTGCCAATACATATAAACACAATTGTCTGTACCCTTGCACTTACCTAAATATTTTATGTAAGCACCAGAAACACATTAGGACTAACTGACCGAACCTGCATTTGCTTATGAAATTACTTTCTTAAAGAACCACCTCCTAAAGTTGTATATCACCAGTGACCTTTGAGGTCATTAGGGAAGCCACCTTTACCAGACAAGACCAGGTCCCGTTCACCTTTGTATGTTATCGCCCCACAGTGTCACGCACGTAGTAGACACTAGCAGGAAGTTGAGTAAAAATGTGTTCAGATGCTGGCACTGACGTTTGGAATTCCATCCCCCACACTGAATATGGTTCCAGTAAACCAAGCGTTTGTATGATTTGGGAAACTTGCCATTAGAAGGTTCCTTACTACGGATTTGCAGTTACCTTGTTTTTACTGGAGGTCATACATGAATTTGGTTTTGTCCTCTCCTTGTCCCAGGTCCACAGGGTGTTTGCTCAGGGGGCAGCTTCTCAGGAAGGCACTATGAGCCGAGGGGATTTCCTTCTGTCAGTCAATGGTGCCGCACTGGCTGGCTTAACCCATGGGGACGTCCTGAAGCTTCTGCACCAGGCACAGCAGTACGAAGATGTCCTCATGGTCATCAAGAAAGGAAATGACCAGCCCAGTCCCTCCACCAGGCAGGAGACGCCCACACCCAACGGGAAGGGCTCGCAGTGCAGAAAGACCACCCCCCTGGAGCCTGGCATGGGTAAGACATCAGTGCAACAACCAGTCGGTGAGCAGCTGGCACGGTCCTTTCCCGGTGAACAGGAAGGACACGTATCACTATCATCTGGGTTGGAGACACGAAGTGTAGTGAAGTCTATAGAGTTTGTGGATGCTTCTTGCAAAAGCAGTGTTACAAATAAGTTATTTTAAAAAGACCCAGGAGTTATAGAGTCATACTGTTGAAGATTTAAAATGAATACTTGACAGCTTCACTGACTGTCCTAAGAAGAAAGCCCTTCCACTTTCCATCCTCTTGTTAGGGCTAAAGTGGTTGGTAATTAAAACAAGAAACTCTTGTGATGGGGGAACCAATGTAGAACGAGAAATTCCAGAACTGAGATTTGTCCTTGGAAGACATCAGGATTTGTGTTCTTTCCTGTTTTAGAAGAACCTAAGGAAATGAGGGGCAAAAGTGGTTACAGACAGAGACTGCAGCCTTCCTCAGCCAAGAAGAGCTCACAAAACGAGGTTCAGAAGCACAGGCTCTGTGTGCCCTCCACATTCTCACACCACGGCTGTGTGGTGAGCCACACCAAGCACTTACTCAGAACGGAGCACTGCGTCTATTTCTGATGCTCAGGCGGCTTCCCTCCGTGTGGCTTCGGTCTCACTGAGACACGCATGCACCAGCAGTGTGTGGGGCCTGATGAGCAGGGGCTCCTGCTTGGGCGTAAAAGCTTTCTCCACGCTTGCAGAAGAGCAGAGGGTGCAGGCACAGGGGAACGCAGCCAGGAGGGGGCTCCAAATTTGGGAGAGCAACCCTAACACGGGTCTCCAGTGTTATTATCAGCTCTCAAGATACATGGGACTCGAGGGTGCCAGGGTAACATTTGGGGGGACTGGACAAGAGATAATGCATGTCCTGTCATTTGCATCTCTCTAACCACCACTGCTGCAGGGAGGAGCACAGCTGCACAGGATGCTCTGTGCGTTGAAGTGCTGAAGACCTCAGCGGGGCTGGGATTGAGTCTGGATGGAGGAAAGTCGTCTATGTCTGGAGATGGGCCCCTGTTCATTAAACGAGTGTACAAAGGTAATGTCCTAGAAAACCCAATCCGCTATCCATTACCTATTTTCTTTCTGTGTATGTCAGGGCCTTCCATTTGGAAATCAAATTTGTTCAAAAAAAATCTGAAATGTTTTTAATGCTTTGTGACACAGGGTTTACTGTGCGTCAGCCTGTTGTGTTCTTCCCGTATTAACTCATGTCACCCACAGGACGGTCCTAGCACATAGGTACTATCCACCATTTTACAAAAGGAGAAACTGGGCCACAGGGCAGTTGTGCAGGCACCTGCGGTCACACAGTGGAAGTGGCAGAACCAGGTTTGAACCCAGGCAGTCTGGCTTTAGTGTCTCCATGTTCTTCATTAGTATTGGCTGCTATTGATGTGAACATACCAAGCTAAGTAATGCCATAAGAAGTGCCAGATGGGTACTTAACATCGGCCTAGAGCGTAGTCACTTAAAGTTGCAGATACCAGACTGCAAGACAGTAAGGTGGGAGCAGTAGGTATCACTGAAATGGTTGGCAGATACAGTTTCTTCATGAACTTGAATAATTCATTTTATGATCTTGGGAGGTCTCAAAAGTCTCTTCAGGTTCCTGAGCTGGTAATTATACTAACAATATCAGTATATATGTATAAATAATATACATATCATTATAATATTTAATATAACACTAACAGTACTAATAATATTGAATATACTGATATTAGTATATTAAATATTAGTATTGTTTTATTAAAAATTAGTATTAGGGAGTGTTGTACTGGTATTGTTAGTATGTTAAATATTATTAAATATTCTTTTAAGCGAAGGCAAGCATGAAACCACCACATCAATATATAACAATAAAATCACACGCCACGTAATGTTTTGGTCAGTGACAGACTATATACACGATCGTGGTCCCGTAAGATTATAAGGAGCTAAAAAAATTCCTATTGCCTAATGACATCGTAGCCATCATGTCACAGTGCAACACATGACTCACATGTTTGTGCTGGTGTAACACACCTATTTTGCTGTGTCATGTAAAAGTGTAGCACCTATAATTACAGAAGTAGGCTACACCATCTAGGTTTGTGTAAGTGACTCGATGCTTGCACAATGAGGAAATCGCCCAGTGGTGCATCTCTCAGAACACAGTGGAGCAGGACTGTATATTGTTAACATATTAAATATTATTAGTAAATTCATGAAGAGACCTCATATCTACCAACTATTTAAATACCTAACTGCTCTTCCTTGCAGTCTGGCATCTAAAACCCTTACAGTTTGGGCAAATGACAGAGTAAGTAGGTCAGCAAGTAATAAGGTCATTTCTTAGCTAGGACTGTTACGTTTTTAATGGCCTCTAGTCAGTGGCCTTGAGGTATATTTCTGCAATTACATACCTCAGGAGCCTCCTCCTGGCCCATAGCACCGACAGAAAATTATCTGTAAAATATGGAGCCGTACTTTCAAACAACCCGTTACTGGGAAGCAGGGGCTGCAGTGCTGCAGCCCAGAGGCAGCAGGAACGAGAAACGTACAGTGGGCCTGGGGCTTCAGTGCCCACCCAGGAGCAGGGGCTGTGCACCCCCTGAATTTGTGGGTGACTGGAACCAGGCTTCTTGTGCTACGGAGGGCTGGGACTTGCTCTGTGCCAGGACTGGGGTCACAATGGCTCTGCCCGTAGCTTAGGTAGCAGCCTTAAGCAGGCTTCCTGCCCACGGGCAAGTAGAGGGCAGGCATAAACCAGGAGCCAGGCCTCTGCTGTGTGTGGTGTCTAGAATCATGGTACTAGGGTAAAGGGAAAACCCCATACTTGTTACCTTGACAGCAGCAGAACACAGCTGAGCTAAGGCAAGCATGAAACAACTGTATGCCTGTAAGAGCACTCACAGGCGAGCGCTCTCAAACTAAGCTTACAAAGTGCATGAGGAAATCCACTGCAGTGAGAGACAGCAGACCCAATAAACAGGAGATCTCATTAAAAAATAAAGACAGGAATATTATCCATGAAACAAGACCAAGAGAGTATTCAAAAGGAGCAGGCAGGTATGTTAAAACAGACACGCAGTCAAATATATTTTTATAATTAATAAATAGAATTTAAAAGTATACTTAATCCTTATGAAAAGAGAATTTATAAAAATCAAGATAGAAGAAACCATAGAAACTAGCACAAGGGAATAAAGACATCAAAATTACGAGGGGAAATACTGAGGAATACCAGAAGGAAAAAATAGAATGAAAAAGAAATATTTGGAGAAATCATGACTAAGAATTTTCCAGAATTCAAAAACAACAGTCTTCAGACTGAAAATTCTCATCAAGGCAAAACAGGATGATTTTATAAAAACCCAAACCTTTACATATCACAAGTTTCAGAATGTAAGTAATAATAAGAAAATCTAAAAACCTAACAGAGAAAATCTACAGATTACACCCAAAGGCACTACAGATTAGCAGCATGAATGCCAGAAGACAATAGAATAACGCTTTAGAGGACTGAGGATAAACATCTGTCAGCCAAACTATCAAGAGTGATAGCAAAATGGAGGTATGTTAAGGCACATACAGTGAAGGCAGCTGGAGTCGCTGCCACCCTGGTCAGTTACAGGCCGCGCCGCCTCTGCCGGCCGAAGCAGCAGCCCGAGGAGGCTGAGGCCCGGCCAGGAGTCCCACGGAAGCTGCAGCACTGAAGGTTCCAGAAGAGAGAAGCACTTCCAGACCTACTTCCCGCAGAGCAAGGATGATGCCCTCGCTAACTCCCTGGCATTTGTCTCTAGCATCTGGCTAGAAATTCATGAAAACTATCATATAAATGGACAGGAAGAGAAAGAAGCACCTCTTTCGTAGACTAGCATTTTGGATGCTCTTGTGTACAAACCTGTCATTTTATTCTCGTGAAAGGCACTGAAGTATTTCTGAATATTATACAGTAGATCCCTGCCTTCACTTTTTTGAAACTAGTAAATCCAGTTTCTTTGTACAGGCTTAGAGATTTCATCTTCTTCCCTTTATTTCATTCTTTAAAAATGTAATGGGCATGAGGTTTTCTGTTTACCTTGTTTCCTGTGCCTTTTTTAGCTCAAGCACCGAAGGCAATATATAGCAGTACTTGATGTATCAGTCTAATACCAAAAAATTTCTTTGAATTATAAAGGAATTGAATATCGTATTTCTCTAAAGCTTTCTTGAAGGTCGGGGATTTTATCTGTGAAAAAGAAAAGCAGTAAATAGTTATTTGTAATCTCCTATGTGAAGTGGCAGCCATCCAGGAAAAGGTTAGAAAATTGTCATTACTGTGTTTGGGCTGCTTTAAAAATGTTTCTCTTTTCATCATTTGACCAAGAATATCAATAATAATACAGTAAGCCAAGAGAAAGATAAAAGGTATAAAGACTGGAAATACAGGGATACAATTTGTCACTATTGGCCAATTATATGTTCTTCCTGACTGAAAAAAAAAATCTAAAAGAATAAAATGTTAAGCCAATATCAATTCAGGATTGCTGAATTCATAATCAACATATAAAAATCAATAGCATGTCCTACATATCAGCCATAACCATTACTTTAAAATACTAAAGGATTACTACTTAAACATAACACAAAAAGCACATATTATAAAAATACGTAAAATGTTTATCTTATATATGGCAAAAAAATTCAGGAGCAAATATAAAAATCTAAGTGACTAGAAGTTATTTACAATGTATTTAACCAACAAAAGGCTAATGTCCAGAATATATAAAGAACTATAATTCAATAAGAAAAATACAAAATAAAGAAAAAATATGGGTAAAGGAAACAAATAGAAAAACAAAAGTTCAAACCTAAACAGCCAAGAAACATAGGAAAAGATGCTCCAACTTAGTTATGGGTGGAAATTATAACTATTACGAATCATTCTTTTATCAGGTTGGCCATGAAAGACCTTTTTGGGGAAAAGCATAAAAGCTTTCTAAAAGACGTTTTTAAAAACTTCAATAAATGGAGAGAGACATATCCTGACCAAGTCTGTTAGGATCCTATTTGGCCTCTAGTAACAGAAAACCCAAGGAAACAATGTTTTAAACGAAATGTTTCTTTCTCAGGTAAAAGAAGTCCAGGAGTTGGCACCCTCTTTGGTCTGCGCAACACTAAATGGTTCATCAAGGACTTTTATCTACGTCACCTCATTCCATCCTTACAACAATCTAGTGAAGTAACAGGACAGATATTAACGTCACTATTTTGCAGATTAAAAAACTGAGGTTTAAAGAAACCTGTAGCAGTTGCTTGAAGTCATAGACTTGAGACCAAAACCCAGTCTGATTGCTATTCATAGTGCACGTTCCACTAGCTCACAGCCTCCTGTTGATTGGTTGGAACCCCCATGTCCTTAGCCCTGGATTAACACACACAAGCTTCTCTGGTGTCATATAACCTGCTTGGGGGCCTTTAGTCAATATTCCTAGCAGAACAGGACACTGGGCGCATGTGATAACACAGTATAATTGGTTATGTCAAATAACAGTGCTTTGGTACTTCGAAAATGTGTATCTGCAGAAAGCAGTGACCATGACTAAATCAGTGTCTTTGCTCCCATAGTAGAGATGATTTTGGTGAGGGCTCATCTCTTCTCTAACCACAGTATGTGCCTCTATCATGAACAACATAAAATGTTTCATCCTTGAGTGGGTTGGATTTGAACTTATTTTCTTCCAGCTATATTTTTATTATTTTTTCAATTTTCATAATCAGCTATAATCATGTATATTGACATTAAATAATATTTAACAACGATTTTCAGCAGTTTAGGATGAAATAGAAACAGCTGCTTAGTTTTTTGAGATCTAATTAAGGTTTCTGAGAACATGAATTATCTTCAGACTTGGGAATTTTTCTTTCAATGCCCTTTTTGCTTTAAGTGCTTTCGCGCTGGTGTGCGCTTCTTTTTAGATGTACATGTGCAAGAAATTAATATAAGAAGGCTTAAACATGTGCTTTTTCAAAGTTCATAAACCTGTTATACCATATACAAAGCTCTGTAGTTGTAGGCATTATGTCAAAGCTGTGTTTGGAAGCAGTCAATTCCATAAATGTCCACGGTCACGGCTGTGCATGAATCACTGATTCTCAGAACTTGGCTACCTTAGCCAGTACCTGTTAACAATTAGAAGGTGAACCTGTTTTCCTGCACATACTGGCTATTTGGATTTTCAGTATGGATTTCCTTTGTTCAACCTTCTCTTTATTTTGTCTTCTTTTGAAATACCTTCCCTTCAGTTGCTTATGTTTGGGGGTGGGGGTGGGGTTATAGATTTGAATTTTTTAATATAGTCAAATTTCTTTTTATGGGGTATATACTTTGTGTGTCTTGTTTAAGAAATATCTCTGGATTCTAAGAATATAAGCATGTCATTTAGAGAGTTTTCTCTCATTTAAGTTCTTAGTTTACTTGGAATTCATTTTGGATATTGTGCAAGTACCAAGCCACTGTTCTGTATTTGTTCTCACAGGTGGCGCCGCTGAACAAGCTGGAATAATAGAAGCTGGAGATGAAATTCTTGCCATTAATGGGAAAGCCCTGGTTGGGCTCATGCACTTCGATGCTTGGAATATTATGAAATCTGTCCCAGAAGGACCTGTGCAGTTAGTAATTAGAAAGCATAGGAATTCTTCATGAAACAAACAGTAGTAGTGACACATGTTTAAAACAACAGTCTCCTTTTTTTCGGTTCCCTTCTTATTTTAGCAAATCAGAATGACTTCTTTAAATGGTGGGTTCCTAAAACAACAGAGCACCATGGTGTAGGCAAGGACTAAAAATCTCCACGTTTTTACCTGCATGTGAAGCTGAACTCGGGAAGACTTCCACCTGGATCACCAGGGCAGGCGGGTTCAATGAATCCCTGTGCCTGCCCCTGCCTTTCATGTTTACTGATAGTGACACAAGTTGTGGCATGAAGCTCTTTTTCATTTGAAACGTTTAGCTAGGCCTTTGCCACCTCGCCAACATACCCAGTCCTGGCAATTTAGGGAGCCAACAAGAGTCTGAGAGGCAACACAAGTGTCACAACTAAAAGGACTATAGTTAAATGTAATTTTGTAAGTAACCAAATGCTTTTAGGGACATTCAATGGAAGGAGACACAGGTTAGTGTGTTACCCTGAAAAGAAAATGAGACTTTAAAAATAAATTAATTACGACCTAATGGTTAGGCTGAGCTCAGGAATTATCCAAAAATGAAAAGCAAAATACAGAAAGTAATATTTTTTAGTGAGTGTAATGTGCAATGTATGGATGCAGAGTTCAACTCGGTGGGTTACTGATCACCATGGGGTCATGATCTAAGAGTGTAAGTCGTAAGGCTGTTTTACAGAAACATAGTTCCGATGAACTGTACTAAGTAGCCAGGAACTTCACTGCTTAAAATGAGCAGGAAGGTCCAGCTGAGAGCACCTTGCATCTAGTTTGGAACTCGTCTTGAATAAATGCTTGGATTCAAGACTGGTCAACACAAGAGCAGACAAAAATATCAGTCACTGGGTTTCCATTTCTATAGTGTATATACTCCAACCAGTAATTTAAACTAAATTTTTAGAAATCAAGTATCTTTTTAGTATCCTTGGATTTATAAACAGAGGCGTTATATTTACAATCCAAAGAGAGGAGCTTAAAATAATCCTTGTAGAGAACTTTTTGTTGCTGGTTTTCCTCCCCTTATCCCAACAAGCTTAAAAAATGTGAACTTTCTAAATTCTGGGTCACTTTTCCGACCTGGGTGTCATGCCATACCTCTGCGGTGACTGAAGTTTTTGCTGTTTTTTGTTTTCCTGTTTTGCAAATTCTTCCTTCTGCCAAAAACGTTTCCCTGCAGAAGCCCACTGTGACTCACGTTGCTTGTGCAGCTGGTCCTCGCTTGCTGCTCTCCGTTCATAGCACGAGCTTCGTAGTAGCTGTTCCCGTTCGATGCGCTGTCCCTCGTCACACCACTGGCTTTTCGCCCCTTGTAGTTCAAGCCCTCATCAGCTTCATTTGCCAAAATGTAATAAGAAAGAGGAAAATGGTAAAGGAGAACTATGTAGTTACAACTCAAATTCTCGGGTGGCACAAGCTGGCTGATTGAGTCCGGGGGAATCCAGGTGAGATTACATACCTGATGATGCTAAGGTTTTCTGTTGGAGCTTACTTGACATAACCTACTGCTTGGGTGTGTGGCTTAGAGACAAGAACTCAAGTCATTATACCCCCCCCAATCATGGAGGCACTAGAGCCGTCACCTTTGTACATTATTTTTCTGAGTGATTATAATCCCAGGAAACCTCTGTGGAGTTGGGCCAGAGAGGTCTCTCAGATGGGAGTGAAATATCTGGCTGGTGTGAGCCCAGTTTTCGCATTGTTTTAACAGGTTATACAAAAGAAAATGTAGTACAGGCATTTAGCTAGAAAGACCTGATTAATTTAACTTCTACTTTTCACTACAATTCCAGGTAGGATACTATAGAAAGTCAGTGCAAGGTGCATGCTAGATTGTTTTTAAGTCTCTGGGGTCAGTTTTGTGGTTTCTGTTTTCTTGCCTAAATGACAAGAGACTACTAGAAGTCAACACTGAAAACGATTTTTTGCCTCCACTCTTCCAGCTGTGCCGACTAAGAAATGCACAGCCCTATGTGAACCGACAGGAACTTCCAGAGCCATGCGGAACAATGGAGTGGTCTTGTGAGAGAGTCCCTCATCTTTATCTGAAGAATGCGGGGGGGGGGGGGGGGGGGGGGGGCCTCTGGCTCACTAAAGCATGTTAAAAGTCATCTGCCATTTCTAGTAGATCTTGCCAGGAGAGTTCCCTGGCCGACAGTTGGAACTTAAGGGAGGAAGCAAAAGCCAAACTGTTTTTGACCCTAAGATAGAAAGCTATTTATTTGTCTTCAGTGTTCAAGGCATGACGAGTATTTCTAATTAGTCGAATGAATTCCCACACTTCCTGAAGTGAACACTAATGGTATTGTCCTACTAAAACTTTCATGGTTTTGGTTTTTTAACTGGTCGGTCATTCACAATAAGCTATGAGGTTAAATATGTGTTATAACATGTAAATCGTAGTTGCAAGGATATATCGTGAAGGTTTGAAGTAGGTTGGGTTTCATGTCTATCCTACCATACACATCTCATTTAATTTGATGGTTGACTTAATTGGCACCACACCTGTTGTATATTATACATTATCCTTTATTTATGTAAAATAAAATGCCTTATATATTATGAAAGAGTAAGTGCAATAATATGAAATAGCCTGTACATTTAAAAATGTTGTCGCCAAATTATGTAAACCCACATCTCTGTAAACAACCTTTTTAAAGTAATTTTAAAAAATAAACACTCTGCTTACTACATTCTGCTTACTGCTTTTTTTTTTTAATTCTGCATCTACAGAATAACCTTTTAAAATATCAAGATCAGAAAGGTTGATTATTACCTAGGTGGGTGATGGGTACAAAGGCGACAGAACTCAGGTCACCCACGCCTTCCTGGGGCCACAACCAGGAGCTGACACAACCCAAAACCGGTCTACCTCTGAAATCTGAAAATCAAACATCCCCCACTTTTACAACCTTCCGACCTTATTCCTTCTTCCCACTACTGCTTCTTGTCTTCAGTTTCAACAAGCCCTCCAATCCCTTGACAGTTGTCCATTTTCTCCCCGTCAGAACCTCAGCCGTTTCATTCCCATCTCTATTCAGACTGGACCCCATGAAGAGCACAGCAGTGCCTGTTCAGCCCATAAGCTTCGCTCCCTCACCCCAGCTAAATCCTGGATCCTTCCAACTAGCTGACTTCTTGGTTCCTACATGCCTATTATGAGACAAAATCCTACAGCCACACATTATGCTGCTGCTATAAATCCATTGTTTCCAACCTCAACTGGACTCTCATGCTATTCGGCAGCTGTTTCATTGTCAGTTTTTCTCTCATTCCTCACAATGACCACAGTCTACATTTTTCTCAAAACCCCTACCCACTCACCTCCACTCCCCCCGTCACCCCCTTCAATATTTGGATGATCTGGGACCCTACTTCACAGAGTGAAATAAAAAAAACCATCTACTTTGGTTTTAAGATGCAGACACCAAGGAAGAAGGCAAGATGGCATCTCACAAGTATCCAAGAATGGGACTCAGCATATGACCAAGACCTCGGAGACTAAAGGAACTCGGGCGTTTATGGGTCATTAAGTGCCCTACACTGATAGGACTCTGTGACTGTGGGTCTCTTCCTGCAGACCTACTTCTCCCGCCACCAGCTGGCAGCCTTGTCCCCAACTCTTCACACCTTTTTACTTAGAAATCTGTGAATGCTATTTTGTCATAATTTTGGCCCCACTCACTATCACAGAATTTCTTTGCACATACAAGCTGCTACCTACCTGATTTTCCATATATTATATCCCAAAAGTAAGATTCTGATTGGCTGTACTTTAGTTTTTTTTCCTGGGGAGAGCGAGCTTGTTTATACAAGTCACTTTTTTGAAACACAGGGAAATGAACAAATATTGGGTTGTTGGAAAAGTCATGATGTATTTTTTTCTGTTTTTCGTTGCAAAAATGTGTCATGACTTTTCCGACAACCCAATATAAAGAGGGAAACTAAGAAGCAAAGATCAAAGAGATAAACTTAAATGAGATTAATATGAATCTAGTAGAACTAAGAACAGAAGCTGAAAGGACCACCTTATCAAACCAAACCCATATTACAAGCATCAAGTTAAATGAAACCAGAAATCCAAGTCAGTAACATTAATGATGAACTTGAAAAATGCTTAGAATACAATGAAAATGGACAAAGCAAATTCATAAATAAAATCCCGATTAAAGGTTAGCCAAGCTAATGGAAGCCAGCAGGACATTAAAGGAAACACCAAGTCTAAGTGATGTTAAAGTAGGAATGCATGAAATGGCTTGAAATTAAGAAATCTATAAAAGGAGTTCTATATATTAGTGGGACAAAAAAGAAAACAATATTGTGAAAGACATCAGTACTTTTTTAAAGACTGCATCATACTTAAAATCGTTTCCATTTGATGCATCATACTGCATCAAACGGGAATGATTTTGGAAAACTCCAAAATCATTCCCATTCAAGTCAAGAATACATACAAAGGGCTGGCCGAGTTGCGCGTTGGTTAAGAACTGGCTTGGGACGCCAGAGGGCCCCAGTTCAGATCCCACATATGAGGGCCAGTGACACTGCTCTCTGCAGCTAAGATGGTGAACGGCAGCTCGACCTGGGGCTGGGCGACGGCAACGGCGTAGGCTGCAGTCCCCTGCTGCAGTGGCTTGCCATGGGCTACCGTGTGTTGCCAGCAGCCAACATGAGCGGCTGTCCAGAGGCTGGCGACCAACCTGCCTCACCCGGAAAGAGCGCAATGACGGTGCCAACTTGGGCCAGTGAAGCAACATCCTCCACAACTAGACTGAAGAACAAAACAACAGCAACTTGTCTGTTCCCCTTCCCCCGATTCCCCAATAAAAAAAATCTTAAAAGAAAAAAAAAAGAATACACACAAAAAAGATGTTCACTGATGTTATTGTTGAATAACAATGTTCTGGAGGTACAAGCCAATACAATTAAGACAAAATTTTTAAAAAGAGGTACAAATAGTGAAAAAATAAATTATTGTGATCTGCACGATATAATTGGGTACATGTAAACACAAGCACATCAATTTAAAGACTTAAAATATTAGGATTCAATAAGGTGGCTATCAAAAATTATTCACCAAAACAACAGCTATATGTAAATAATAACCAATTCGAACATATAGAAGGAAACACCTAATCATAACAGCAATGGAAAAATAACCTTAGCAAGGACTGGCAAGCCTAAAAAACAGACAACTCTATAAAGAGACATAAAAAAGGTAACTCAAACAAATGGGGAGACAGATATAGCTTATTCGTGGATAAGATGACTCAATACTATAAAGTTTTCAATTCTCCCCAGACTATACATGTAATGTAAGTCCAACCATAATCTCAAGAGCTTCTAACCTGACAAAATTATTCTATAACAATGGCCATTAGAATGGATAAAGAGCATGAATCCAATTCACAAAAATAAATATAAATTACCAAATAAAGACAAATGATAATCAACCCCCCAATAATTAAAACAATTTGGAAATTCCTATTAGCTTGGCAAAGAGCAGGATTGATGAGAACCTCTAGAGTACCAGCTAGGGTTAGGGTGTAGGGAAACCAGTATTCACATGATTGGTTGAAGTGTTAGTTAACATGCATTGTACAAATCAATCTGGCTTTATCTTATATGTTTTCAAGGCATATTGTTTGAGCAAACTCATTTTGATTAATTCCTCCTATAGAAGTCAGGGAAATATGATGACGTGTACATTAAAATACTGTTTGCAATAATGAAAAACATGAGAATCCAAATGTCCACTAATGAGATTTAACGAAGTTATACAATGAAGCCATAAATTATTAAAAAGGATGCGTGCTTATTCTGAACACTACACAATGTAAGTGCAAAAAGTAAATTGCACACCTGTATATGATGCTAGTGGGAACACAGTACACGACTAGTCTATCCTAAGTAAACGCCCATATAATTCTAACACTGGGCTGACGAAGTGTACATAATCAACATTTAACTATGTTATCATCCATACTTCTTTGAAAAATAACCTGCAAGGTTATGAATATTATTATTACCTCACTGATACAATTAAAGAATATATGACATTTGTGACATTTGTGCGCAACTTACAAGAGCCAGGTATATCATTCTGGGACCTGATTGGCTGTGATGAATTGGAAATTACCTCAGGCTGTGGGTCAGTCATTTTGATCTGGATGAAAGTGAAATGGAACAATATTACCTGATAATATAGAACAAGTTAATACAAGATGGAGAGGCCATCAAGTTGGAATTAAATGTCAGGAACTAAATACCTCAGAGACTCGAGACTGGTGGTTTTCACACTCCTGGGGCAAAAGCAGTCGTGCCTGGCAGTCATGGGCTGCCGTCAGACTGGATGCCATTACTTATTTGTCATATATTGCCACTGAACCAGTCAGATACCAGCCTCTTTCACTTTCCTTTGAGTGATGACCAAATTCAAAGATTTGTTATACTTGACACTTGTCGAGTATTGTACTCATCTGGTCACAATGGGAAGAACTGAGTAACAATGTGTCAAGAGACCACTGGGCAATCTTGCTTCAGCAGGGACTTTCTTGGCCATTTGACATTTGACAATGCTTTTTTTTTCTAAGAACAAATAGAATTGACTTTTCCATCTCTAAAAGATAATTTATGTAATTATAACAAGCTATTAGAATAAAGCAGAGATGTCCTTTTATCATTTTATTTTGCAAAAGCATAGGAATGTCTGCTATTCTGCTTTTGTCTGTTAGAAAAAAGAAGCCCCCTCTCTATTATTTATCTTATCAATTTATCCTTATCTTATTAAATAAGGAGAAATTGTAGTTAAATGCCATTACTATTATTCAATCACTTCATGATTTAAAAACTCAAACACTTACCAGATAATGTGAGATTGGGAAATCATTCTCTCCAAGCCTGTTTTTCATTAAATGAAGACAGTAATTGGGGTTTGAGGAGGTCAAAACAAGGTATTAAATACTTAACAAGGCACAGAACATGCATTCAGTAAGTTTCTTTTCTCCGTTAGAGCATTACTCCACATCAGGTTATTTTAAGGAACAACCTCAAATAGCATGTGAAGTCAAA